TCTATATACCAATAAACAAAAATATGTATTTATCTATCCATCTGCCTACCTACAATCTATGTATCCAGCTATCAAAATATATAGACACACCTTTATGCATATCTATATGATGTGTGAGTTCATACTTGCGTGTGGCGATTGAGATAGCCACTATGATTGTGTTAATTAATGAGAACGGCAAAGAATATCCGTCTTGAAAATTATGAAGTTAACTAGTCGAGAATTGCTCCACGCTTCGAGCACTACTCACACCGACGACTTGCCTGCCTACTTTTATCTAAAAGACTAATGGTGGCGAGTCTTGTTTCTATCTGCCTTTTATTGTTGCCGAGGCACCTGTACGTCTGGTCTTTCAGTTTTGGCTCCGCTCAATCGGGCCCATCTCGACGCCTGCGAGGTCGACCTACATGCGGGCGTTGGGGTGGCCGGAACGGTGCCTCGGGGCGTGGGGGAAAGGCAGCAAGGGTTGAATGCCTCCTGCCTCTCTGAGAGTGTCTATCTCGACATTGCATAATGTCTGTGCAGCCGGGAATCGATTTGACCCAGCCGGGCAACGGACTTCCTCGTCTCGAGGGTGAGTCAGACTGAATGGGTCGTCGACATGGCGACCCCGGCTGCACACTGCCTCTGGGACTCGAGGCCGGTCGTCCCGTCCGACTGATTGCGATGCGGATTAATCCACTAATTGATGGCCACATGCAAAAAAGCCTCGTTGGCATTTTGACTCTACTTTTGCCTGAAGCTCTGCTACCTGTCTTTTCACCTGTCACCCGAAAGAGTCGCATTGCATGTTGCTTCCTGTGCTGTTGTCTGTTTGGTAGATCTTCTCTTTTTTCCCTCCAATTTTGCCAGTTCCACTCTCTTCTCTTGTGTCACTTCGACTCTCGCGAAAGCAACAAACCGTGAACACGTCCCGGCATTATTGCATTCAACACCGGTTGCTCATCTGTCGATCACTCCTGAATACTTCCGGGCACGTATTTTCCGCATCTACACAATTGTCCATCTCTGTTGCCGGGGCGAGAGTGATGCCTCGAAAATCGGTATAATCTCCAGTTATGCCAGCAAGTTGCCCAGGCTTGTCCTTTTCCTTTCAACACCTATTGGAGCCAGGTTTGCCCAAACTGGTGAACATTCCATAAGTTTTTCCTTTTCAACTATGCTTTCGAGACTACTATTAGATCATACATACGAGATGTATTCATCCTACTTCGTTTAAGGACATAAGGGCATGGTAAAAGTGTCCCATAATGATATGTGTATACCTCACATTTTCATATACAAATCATATATATGCCATACAGGTAGTCTTGAAAACCTGTATTTAAAGGAAAAATAACTCATGTTATAGCGAATACGACATTGCTTCTTCGGCACTCCCACCACAAGATGTGATATGCCTAACCTTCCTTCAAGTGCACATTTGTGTGGCGTAATGGTTAATGTATCGAGATCATTTGCTGCACTGTCACAGTTTCGGTCCCATTCGGGGTGCCGAGAAGACCTAAGCGAGAGCGAAACTGCAGTCCACTTCAGCTTGGATGAGAATTCATTTTGGGGAAGTAAGGCTATGCGAAATTCAATGGAAACACAAGGCCCACTCTCATCGTTGTGGGAAAATTCAACTACCCATTCCTTTATCACCCCAAATGATATAGGAGTAATACATCTCATATAAATGGTCGTCATGTTTTACGAAAGTGTTTCTTGGATAGGCATATCTGCTGGCTTTATCAAATGTAATGGATCCGTGACGTCTGCCCGGCCAAAAGTCATAGTGATAACCTTTAACGATAAATGCCAATTAAAATTGGTATTCATGCTGGTCTACTCATCCGATATGAGTAGACCTAAAAGTAATCAGTGCTTATGGGCTAAAGTCATGTGCATTTCAGAAAGCAGTGGCTTTATCCAGCTCGGCATGCAGGACAGTTCACATTCTACTCCCTTTCAGGTGGCTATAGTTGCAAGTAGCGCAAGTCTCGAAGATCATTTCAATACTGAGTTAACAATTATTTTCTCCAGCGAATCTGGTATTGGCTTGCTGACAAGAAATCTAGCCGAGAAAAGACTTAATTAAGCGCGGCTACATGCAATTGCCGACCGCCCTACCAACTAAGGGGTAACCAAACTAACATGTTACCTTCTCCATGCCCCCTCCGTCTGCCCATTTGTCAGTGCATCTTCATATATCTAAATATGTCTGTATGTCTGTCTGTCTGTCTGTATGTCTATCTGTCTGTCTGTCGGTATGTCTATCTGTATCCCCTTCTAGTACAGACACCTCAGTGTTATCCAAGATTATTACTGCCAAAAGCCCCCAGCTCTTGTTAGACCTTATTCCTGTCTTCGTTGAGGCAATTTCCTGTTTTTACACAATTACGATCACGCAGATGTTATACGCAGCATGTAGCCTTACAGCTCCACAGGGAGTCGCTTGGAAGCCGACTATCGTTATCTACCCCGATAACATTAGATAATAGACCTAGTTCTTTAATTATCTACATAAATATTCGTTTATACATCCATGCTGTATCTTGTGTGTATTTATATTCATGGTTATCTGCTGCAGAGCAGATGCAATTAGAGCATTTAGTCCTTCTTCGTTTTTAGAGCCTTGCCAGAGAGGAAAAATGCTTTCTTTTCTGTTTGTCAGTGGCACTGAATGCTACCGAAACGGCTTAGCACAGCACAGGCCGATATTCCTGCGGGCCTGGGATCTCAACCGACGTCTTGGGAGACTGTTGGTTCAAATGGAAATGAGTGGATATGAAAAGAGTTGGCGAAAAATGGAGGTCGAGAGGCCATTTTGTCGAAAGCCGAAGCCGAGACCTGCTTGCCGACTGAGCCCCAGTCTGACTGGCGGTCTAAGGGGGATTCGGACCTGGGGCTTTAGGGCTAGAAGTGGGGAGTGTAACATTGGTGTAAAACCATTCACATCTTTCTTGAAGAGTTTAACAAAGTCTGATTTGCCTCGAAAGGATGTCATATTTGCTCCTAGCACCCGCATTTCTACAGTTAGAATTCCATGAAGCTGCTGATATGACGATGAGGTGAGCTCGAAATTGCATGCCTGATGCAATGAAACTGAATGCAAATCAGGTCGTCTCTTTGCATAACCGTCATTCGATTCTGTAAACCATTAGAAACCGGTGCAAACTGAAGTTGTCAGCCAGTATCTTTAGTAGCAGACCAGTTTCACACATGTGAGGAGAAAAAATGTGCCGGCGTTGATTGGTCTGGTGCTGGAAGAAAATCAAATCACTTTCCAATCCAATGACAAAAAATGCAGGTTTCGAAGAAATTTCTGACATAGGGTTGTTGTGAACACCTTAATTTAGAATGGAAGTACATGATGAAGAGATTCGTAGGTCAATCTCGCGTTGTACTGCAACCGTTTGGACTTAATACGACGTTCAGGTTGATGCGGTCCACGAGACATCCTCCAAGGTTCCGGGCGAAGACGAGCTGATCCATCGATCGTCATGCTACATGACGAACATCGTCAGAGTTGGCCCTCATTCTTAGTGCCGGCATATCTTTGAGTTCATTTGAGAAGGTGGATGAAAGGGATTCATAAATCGGCCGCACCGGTTACTGAAGGAGGATTTTATTGGAGCTGTGATTGTGGAATTGTTCGAAGAAGACTTCAACTCACCGTCTTGTGATCCCGGCAACTCCGGGCTGAGCTGTCATCCGTCACGTGACGGATATCGTCAGAGCCAGAAACCATTATTCACGAATTATCACCAAAAATACGAGATCTTTCTTGGTTTAGTCCAAGACAGTCATCCCTCGGTATCAAGTGAGGTCAATTAACGAAGCCATTCTACCCGCTTTCTCACACGAAATGAAAGGTATGACTGTATTAATCTATTTCGTGTGAAAGTGTTGGGTGAAGAGATTCGGAGGTCGGTTCCACCAGAAGACGACGGCGGATTCCTCTTGACCAGCTG